CCACCCCCCGTGTTTGTGTATTCTGAGGGGCTCTGTGAGACCTACAGGAGGTGGAGGCTGCAGGATGATGGCAGAGGACCACAGACAGTGAGGTCCTGGTGCAAGGCTCTGCCGGGACCCCCAAACCTGAAGGGTTCTCACCTCCGCCTCTCCCCAGAGACCCTGCCGTTTTCCTGTGGAAGATTTGGTCAACCTTGACCCATATATGCCCGTGGCTCCACCACAGCTGCGGCCCTTGGGGTTAAACAATGCCCTTTGTGGGGTAATCTGGGGCTGGGGTGTGATAGCTGAAGGGGGTGACCTGGTCCATTCAACTCCTCCTCTAGTAGGAGGGTGCAGCCAGCCCCTGGGAGGGGAGAGGGACGGCCCAGTGAGGCGTGGGGATGAGTGCTAAGCAGGGATAAATCTGACCCTTTGCAAAACCATCAGGATAGTGTATGAAGGGTGTGGAGATTTTCCATAAATGTAACATGTACCCACCACAGAAAATGCAAAGCGAGGAGGCAGCAGTAAAAAAGGGCTGGAGTTTCCAGCTATGAGCTGGGCTCTGCTAAGAGGAGACTCACAGTCCGAACCTACAGCAAGTAGCTCACAGCCTATGGGCGAGCCAGGCCTGGAAACATCCCCAGGGGAAACTGCAGGGGGTGGGGCAATCCAGAGGAGAGAGAAAAAGTCCCCTTGTGGGGATCAGGGAAGGCCACCTAAGAGGGGCATTTGTCCCAAGCCAAGAGGAGGAGGTTTTGGACCAGAGGAGGGAGAATGCCACTTGGGGGGTGGTAACTGGGTGAGCAAAGGTGGGAGGCTGAACACAAATTTCCAGTCAACTGCCCGCTCGCAGGGCAGAGGCCACAGGGCAGAATCGGAGGTCAAGGGTCTGGAGCAGGCTGGGGTCTCATCCAAAGCCTGCTGAGTGGTGTTTGGATTTTGGAGATGATGTCAGTGGTGTCTGGGCTGGGAGACAGTGGTTAGAGCCGTGGCGGGGGGGACCGCTGGGGCACAGGGGGAGGGAGGACCAGGGTAGGGGCGGCTGATGCCCCCAGCTCTCTTGGCCCGTCTAATGCTGGGGCCTGGAGGCCCACCCTGAGGCTCATCTAAGGCTGAGCAGGCATGTGCTGCACCTTCACCCCGTGTCCCCATATCCCATGTCCTGTGTGGTGCCCCCTTGGCTTCCTCCTCCCTCCTCCCTACCTCCTGAGGCACAGCTACCAGCTCCCTACTGTGATGGGAGTGATTAGATTAGAAGGTGATTTGGGGTCTGATTATCTTGGGTGGAAATTGGCCCCCTATGTGTTTTTCCATCCTGCTGAGGGCCGGGGAGGTGGGGAGCGGCATCCTCATTACCAACGAGGCAGAGAAACTTCCTCAGAATACATTTGAGACCAGGGTATGAGGGCCTGGCTTCCTGGGGTGGGCGCTGGTAGGTGACAGAGAGGATAGGCTCAAGAGAGAGGGGAGAGTTCAAATCCCGGCTCTGCCCCCACCAGCCAGTGACTCTGGGCAAGCCGCTTCTCCCTTAGCCTCAGTTTCCTCCTCTGTAAACTGAGGGCCGGTGTGAACTCTAATTAGATAATGGTGTGTGAAAGGTTTGACTCGATGCCCGGCCCACGGTAGGTGTCCTACAGAGGTCAGCACTGGCCACTGCCCCTGCCATCTGTGCTCTGAATCAGTGCACTGTGCTCCTCACCTTGAAGGATCTGGTGAACCCACCCCCACATGACCTCTCCAGGCCCCAGGCTCCTTATCTGTCTAATATTGCTTTTGTCTAACTGTCCCCTGCCCACCCCACACAAGCTGAGCCAGTACGCAAGAAATCTTGTCAGCAAGTTACTGTAATTACCAGGGTCCTGTCAGTGGGCCCTGGTGTTCCCAGTTAGTGCCTCTTGGGCAAGTAGATGGGCTCCAGAGTCGGCCTGGGCTGCTTGGCCTCTAGTCAGTGTCTGAGCTCACCCTGTGGTCCCCACTGTGCCCTGCCCAGAGATGAAAGAGTGCTGTCCTTCTGTCCTTAGAATGAACAAGGAGCCAGCTGACCATGTGGGTTCTGCTACAGCTCACCGGGCGGCATGCCCCTTCTGGGAGCCTTCGTGCCTTGGTTTACCCATGCACGGTCAGACAGACTGACCTTTACCCACCATGAAGAAACTCACTGGAGAGTGTCCATCTGTCTTCCTGTAAAGCACTTTGAGATCATGAGATCTTAGAGGGCCAGAGGCTAGAACACACATATACACACATGCGCACACATACGCCTGTATACACATGGGTGCACACACATGCACACCAGCACATGCACACACACAATCTCAGGATATCGCTCAGGTCCTAGAACAGAAAAGAAGGAGTGGGTGAAACCTTTTGAAAGGTGAAAATAGATTCCTTTCTTGAGGAAAATGTTGTAAGGTAGATGTTTCTTGAGTTTGCTGACCTAACCTTCAGGTCTAAAGCAAACCGGAAAACAAAGCTGCTAGAGACAAGTCACCCCGAAAACAGGGAGAAGTGGCCAGCAGTCTGGAAGAAAAAGAAGGAAAAACTCTAAAACGCAGAACTGAGTTCAAGAAGCAACTCATGGGGCGCCTGGGTGGCGCAGTCGGTTAAGCGTCCGACTTCAGCCAGGTCACGATCTTGCGGTCCGTGAGTTCGAGCCCCGCGTCAGGCTCTGGGCTGATGGCTCGGAGCCTGGAGCCTGTTTCCGATTCTCTGTCTCCCTCTCTCTCTGACCCTCCCCCGTTCATGCTGTGTCTCTGTCTGTCCCAAAAATAAATAAAATGTTGAAAAAAAAAAAGAAGCAACTCATCAGGGCCTTTTAGCATCCGGGTCGGTGTCTGTGGCCATTGGGCTCAGCCCCTGTCTGGTTCTTACTGTGTGGCCTGTGGATGGCCTGAAATGCTCCAGCCAGGCTGGGATGCTCACCTCTCTGTCGGAGAAGGAAATACATGCTGCGTTGAAGAGAGATTTCTACCCTGGGTAGTAAGGATTTATATTTAAAAAAAAATAAAGGTGCCCAAAAGTCCAAACTTCACTTACCTAGGTTCTTTACTAAATAGAGGGACCACTGGCAGGACGGAAGGTGCCTCCTCACGTGTTCCCTGGAGCCTTCTGCATGTGACCCTACACAGGCCATGCAGGTTAACTCTTTCTGTGAGTGACCTGTCTGTCTGTGAAAGCTCCTGGGACACAGTGATGTGTCCCCAGCACCAGCCTGAGGATAGAGGGCTGGCTTCGCTGTATCTCCTTCTGTCGGAACCCAGGCGGCCGTAGTGGCCATCCCCTCCCCAGGCTGGGTCCCAGCCGCCCTCCCTGGACTCCCCTTGTTTCCCCAGTGAGGTCACAGCCAGCTTCAGTGGGTTTGTTTGGTTTTTTTTCCTGCAATTTTTCTATCATGGCAAAATACACATGATGTGAAATTTACCATTTTAACCCCTCTCAAGTATACAGGTCAGTGGCATTACATCCATTCACACTGTTGTGCACCCATTACCACCATCCATCTCCAGACCTCTTCATATTGCAAAACTGAACCTCTAGAGCCGTTGAATGGGAACACCACCCCCACCATAAGTTCCCCACTCTGGCCCCTGGCAACCACAATTCCACTGTCTCTGTCTCTGTGAATTTGAGTGCTCTATGGAGCTGCGGTACTGGAATCCACCATAGACGTCCTTCTGTGACTGGTGTATTTCACTGAGCATAATGTCCTCAAGGCTCATGCCTGTACCAGAATTTCCTTCCCTTTTAAGGCCAAATAATACTCCATTGTATGTATACAGCACACTTTTCAGCAGATTTACCTCTGCGTTTAATCCTCACTCTGGTACAGAGTCCCCCGAATGAACCTTGGACAGGCTGCCCTCTGATCCTGCACGGTGGAGGGGCCTGTGCAAAGTGCAACTGACACAGAAACCCCAAAGATGAATAAAAGTGGAGCCACTCTGACAAGAGGCCTCCCTCACCCCCCACAGCCAGCCCTCCTGCCCCTCAAAAGAATTCCAGGGCCTTTAAACCAGTTTGAGGGGTGCCTGGGTGGCTCAGTCGGTTAAGTGTCTGACTCTTGATTTCGGCTCAAGTCAGGATCTCACGGTTCGTGAAATCAAGCCCTGCATCAGGCTCTGCCCTGAGAGCGCGGAGCCTTTTGGGGACGCTCTCTCTTCCTCTCTCTCTCTGCCCCCCTCTCTCAAAAATAAACAAAGAAACTTAAAAAAAAAATTTTAAAGCCCAGTTTGGAAATCCTAAAATTCTACAAAAGGGGTTCTTAACCTTTCTTTCACCGAGGAGCCTGGGGAAGTCTGGTGTCCTCAGAGATGCCACCCCTAGTCGGAATAAAGCTTTAAAATGCATAAAATAAAATACATTGGATCACAAAGGAAGCCGATGATATTGAAATAATTAAAATAATAAAAAATGTGTGTGATAGAGTAATGTGCTTCTTTGTGCTTCTTTGTCAGCACACTAATGACAAGAACCAGCGGTCAGTCTGATAGCTGCCTTACTTGTAAAATCAGGATGAGTGAATGACTGCAACAGCTATAAAGTCACATGACAAAGAACCTGTCATATTTGTAATACATGTAACGGCGTTGCGGGCGACTAACACTCCTGGGGTCGGTAGCCTATGTCATGGTGAAAATGCTAACTTTCAGTTAGACGGTTGTGAACACCAAGATGTCATTGTCTTCTCATGCAAGTTCACAGAGCCCTGAGTTCTTTCCCAGATCTTTGGGAGGGAGTGGACCCCATTTTAAGCAGTCCTGTCTAGTCCTGTCTAGGACAGAGTGGGGAGGTGGCTCTCTTAAGAGAAGATAGTAGGTGGTAGATGTAGCAGGGTTTGAGTCCCAGGCCCGTGATAGCTCTGTCCCAAGGGCATAGTTTGAACCCTAATCATGGGCAGTACCCCAGGACCTTGGCAGACAGAGCCAGGAGCTTTCTGGGACCCAGTTCCTTCCACTCCTCTGGGGAGGGGGCTTGGGCCCATGCAACGGTAACTTGGCTTTCGTCCCCCTCCCCAGGGACCCACGTGATGGAGGGCTCTGGACGGATGGTAGTGACCGCAGTGGGTGTGAATTCTCAGACTGGCATCATCTTTACCCTGCTGGGGGCTGGCGGTGAGGAGGAAGAGAAGAAAGACAAGAAAGGTAAGCGCAACCCCCTCACAGACCAGGAGAGGAGCTCTTCAGGTCACTTTTTTTTTTTTTTTTTTATTGTCGTTTATTCATTCACTCAACAAAATAGTTATTGAGTGACTTTTATGTCCATGCCCTGTGCCAACAGCTGTCTCCTGCATCCTTGAGGCCCTGCTTGGGCCAGGAGGGTTCTGTCTGTTCCATCTCCAGGGTCTTGTCCCAGTCTCTGTCTGTCTGGTCATGTCATGGAGTACCCTCCCGTCAGGCCAGGCCCAGGGCACTGAGCACTTTGTTGAGTCTCCAGCCTTGAGTGTGACCTGGTCCCATCATCAGGCCTGATACGGAGTCGAAAGCCCCACCTGCGCTCACTCCTGCCACTAGTCTCAACTCCACAGAGCAGGGCTGCAAACCCACCCAGCACTGACTCAGCCCAGATGTGGGCAGAAGAGATTCTGGGGAATGTGGCCAAACTCATGGTTTCCTCCCCTATCCCCCCAGAGCTGGCACCTTGCCTGGGTCCTAGCTCCTCTGCCACTTTGGAAACAAGATTCCTACTCCCTGGGCTCCCCCTCGGTGCAGCGAGCCGGTAGCCTGGCTACAAGTGCCTCTCAGAGCAGAGGGAGGGATGCACGGAAGACCCTAGAAGCCCAGGCCCAAATCCAAAGGCCCAGGCCTCTGGCCCTTGCACAGCCAGCTCCTTACCCAACACCTAAAGTCAGTCTCAGGGACAGAACCCTCTCACATCTTCAGTCTTTTGTCCTATCTCCTTCCCCAAGCTCCAGAGGAGGGTCCACAACACCCACACCATCTGGGGTCCGGGGGAAGAAGATAAGAATGCTCTCCTTGAGTTATAGGGACAGGCCTGCTACCTCCAGCTCTCCTTGGCCGACCAGGCCCAGAGCCTGGGTCACAACCAAAGGTTGCTTGTTCCTAAGGGTAATACCTTATATTTTCTAGAAGGGTCTCCCTAAGATTATGGCAGCCCCAGCAACATGAACAGTGGAGCTAAGCTGTGATCTGAGAAATCCAGAGGTGGGAGAGAACCTGTCTCAGGAGACAGCTGAGGTTGAAGCTGAGGACACAGTCCTTGTCAAGAGCCCCAGAGGGTGTCAGGACAGTGTTCACACAGTGACGTAGAAGCTGTGGCCAGCTCTGGCCCCAGGGTGCAGATGGTGGGGCAGATATGGGCAGTGGGCGGGGTATGGCAGGATGACACAGGCTTTGCCCCTTTTCTTGGCCTCCCTGGGTCCTGGGTGAGGGGCAGAAGCACCCAGAAGCTCCCACAGGCCAGACCAGTGTCCTCAAAGATTTCAGTAGGAAGATGGGCCTCTCCCGCCCGGAAGCACAGGTCAGAGCCCTTTACTGAACACACACCTATGGCCCAGTGAGATGGGGGTGTCAGTGTAGAAGGAAGAAGTGGGATGTGGGAGGACAGGGCAGAGGAATATACGGGGCAGCCCCACCTCTCAAGCCCCTGTGAGCAGCACGGCCAGGGCTGGGCCCCCTCTGCATTCCCATTTCATCACCTCCACCAGGGTCATTGCTTAGAGCCTGCCAACCACGGGCCCCCATTTCAGGATGACCACAGGCGTGCAGCCGGGCGTGTGTGTGGGTGCGTGTGGGTGTGTGTGTGCGCGCGTGCGCACAGATGAGGCTGGATGTGCTTCTCCTTCATTAACGTGTCTCAAAAATCATCACACAGGTGTGAAGAAGGGGGATGGCCTTCAGCTACCAGGTACAGTAAGACACCCCTCAGGGTAGATGGGGCTTTTAGAAATAGCAGCAGCCTTCGAGCACTGAGCCCTGGCCCCAAGCCACCAGCACACAGCTGGAGGAGGCTCCCTGACCCACCAGACCCTCCACTGTGCCCCCACGCGATGCCAGCCCCACGGGAGGAACCGGCGCCTCACTCTGCCCGTTTGCCCTTCCAGACCTTCACCCTGCCAGCCCATGCACATGGTGCCACCACACAGCCCGCAGCCCCACACACTGGCATGTAGTGCCCTGCTCACCACCCTGTGACCCCACAGCCCTGCTCTCCTGTGCACACCCCACAGAGCCTGTCCCAGCTCCCCTCACCACTCAGCATGTGCCCCCCGCCCGCTAGTGTCACTTCCCTCTCCTGCCCACTCAACCCATTTCCCCACGCCTGGAAAGAACAACCAGAGTGGATTTGAGCATCTCATGTCATTTGTAATTTGTAAACTAAGGGAAACTTGCTAGTACCTTCTCTGTCTCAGGCACAATGTGTGACATGCTTGGTATCACCTATTAAATGATGGGGCATCTCGTAGGGGGTTGACCAAGGCGATCTTTTGAGTGCTGGTTAGGAAGGAGGAGGTGGCCGCAGGCAGTGGCCTGAGTCAAGGGCTTGTTCCACTGGGACGCAGTGATGGCAGTCATAGCAGATACCCAATCAGAATGCCCACACTGCACCCATTACTGAAGGTTTGGAAATGACTCCTGGCCATGGGTCCCTCTGGCCCTGACGGACAGCCAGATGCCCTCTCATAGAAGCTCCTGTGACGGGGACTTGCCCGATTGGCATGGCCAAGGGGTGCATCCTACCCAACCACATTGATCATCTGCCATGTTTTGTTTCAAAGACCCTCCATGTCTGAGTTTTTTACCCTGATTTTTACGGCATCTCTATGGGAACATTTCACCCCCGCCCCCAAATTTGAGTTTCTTGATTTCCAACAGAGATTTTTTTTTTTTTTAAGAATATAGTCATGTTACCTCCCGCAAGTTGGTTCATGTCTTTATTGTTGTTGCTGTTCTGCATTGTTGCTTTTCTCCATTGTGACACACTGCATTTTCCATCCCTCCCACCCCCACAGCGGCCGATGGTGCAGCAGGCTCAAATGCTGTAGATAGTGCAAATACCAGCCTAGTCAATGGTACGTCTTCGATGGCGAGCGCTCGGTCTCGGTTGGATGGGCGTCTCTCTCCCCCACCCCCAACTCTGGGCTTGCCTCTCCCTGTTCTGGACCGCACAGATCTTGGATGTGCATGGGCAGCTCTGGGACAATCGTCCTCTCACGTGGGGCAGGCGCTTAAGAGAGAAGCCACCACCGGGGAATCCGCTCCGCACCCACTTGCGGCTGCCAAAATGGCACTGGCTCCTGGTGGGCCCTCAACCCCCAGTGGAGCCCAGAAGAGGGACATAACGTTGGCTTCAGATTTGACTCCCAAGAAGCAGCATCCCACCCGGCGTGGCCCTCTCCTAAGTACATTCCTGGCCCCAGCTTGGGGAAGAAGGCCTGGGGTCAGGACCTGGGCTGAAGCTGGCATCTGGGTCCCTAGTGAAGTCTCCAGTCCTTGGCTCGAAAATTCCCTCGAGGCAGGGGGGACCCAGGCCGGGGTTCAGCCCCTTGGCCCCACCCCATAGCATGGCTGAGCCACAGATAAACATTTCTTCCTCTTCTCTTTCACGGAGTGAACGGGCAGGGGGCTCGCTTGGGCTCGGGCCTGGTTCTGTCCCTCGGACGTGGACTGGTGTTTCCTGCTGTTGCCTGTGCTGGAGCATTTGTCCTGAGTCTCTGCATTCTTATGGGCCCCTCGGGGGTGAGGGGTGGTGGGGGGGAGGGGTTGCCACTGTACATGGGATCTGCATTTTAACCTCCTTACCCACAGGCATGAAGGAGTTGTATTCACTGGCCTCCAAGCCTTTAGAGGGTTTCTTATTTCTATACCCTCCCATCTTCAGAGTGAAGAGGCTCCCATTTGCTCAGAAAGCTCCCCTGTCCCCAAATTAGGTAGCATGATAGTCACCCAGACTAAGAGCTGGAGGGCTTGATCATAAAACTGTTGCCCGAGAGAATCGAAGGGAAAGGAAAAGCCATTCTTACAGCATCACCGTGTACGAGGCACTGGGCTGTGGGTTTCTCATTCATTATATCATTTACTCCTCACCACTCCTGGACGACATGGAGACCCTATCCTACCTCATACTCCCATCCCCTGCCCCAGACCTCTGGCTGAGCCCCCTGCATTCAAAATGACCAATGATGGAAGCACCTAGTGGATGTCAGGGGCCAAGCAAGACCCTTCGGCGAGCCGCGCCTTGCCAAGAAGGGCTAATTCGGGCGTAGGTCTATTTCAAGCATAGGAGGAGAAAGGAGAACAGCTTGGGGTGTGGGAGGTGTCATGCGTCATGGAGGAGTGGCGAGGGGTGACAGGGAGAACCGATATAGGCAAACCCGGGGGGGGCGGGGGGGAGAAGGAAATGGGAGGTGGTGCTCTGCTTCCCCCAGAGCAGTGAGCCTCCTGGGCTCGTTGAACATATAGACTACATCCAGGCTGGTCGGTCCCAAAACAAGGCAGCTTCACCTCCAAACTGTAGCAGAAAACTCGCAAGTATCCTGAGGAAAATTACAGGAAAGATGGGGAACTTGACCACCCACTGTAAACCAGGCACTTTGCAAACATTTCATGCTCGTGGCCTCATTTGGTCCTCATGATAACCCTATGATACAGAGTTTATTGTCCCCACTTTAAAGATGGGGAGACTGAGGCTCAGGGAGATCAAGACACTAGCCCAAGGTCACAGAACTAGAGAGCGGCAGGGCTGGCATTTGAACCCAGGCCTGCAGGCTCTAAAGTGTGTGCTCCTCTTCCTAATCCAGGATTTCCTGAAGGAGTATGTCTTGTAAACTTCATAGGGATATTAATCGGTCCTATCTCCAAGAAAGGATCCTGTGGTCAAAGGTGGTTAAGAACCGTGGGACAGAATTGGTCTCTTCCTCACTGCAGGACTTCTCAGAACCTTGAATAGGCTGGCGTATAGTGGAAAGGTAGCCATGGAGGGCTTCCCGGGCTGATTTGGCTGCAGGACTTTTCCTGGCTGAATCTTATGAGATTGGTGTGGCTCCATAATATACTTTGGGAAATAGTACTCTATGCCGTTGCTACTCAAAATGTGATCAGAGGACCTGAAGCCTGAACATCTCCTAGGAACCTATTAGAAATGCAGAATCTCAGGCCCCACCCCAGACCCACTGAATGAGAATCTGCATTCTAATAAGCTCTCCAGGATCTAGGCCAGTGTGCATTAAAGGTTGAGAAGCACTAGGCTGAGCCTTGGTCAATGAGAGAATTAACCGTTCCTTTGCCTCCCTCCTCTGAGCCAAGTCAGGATGATTTGGACATGGAAAACACACCCAGCTGGCAGTAATCCCCCTGACTCCACCCCCCCATCCCCCTCCCAACTGAAAGTGGGTGTATTCCATTAATCTTGGAGGCATTACGCTTGTTATTGTTATTTTATTATTTCTTTTACATTTATTAATATATCACTATTTAATACATCATTTATAATCATAATTAGTAAATAATCACTCTGGACCCCAGACATTTACAGGACACTTTGTGGTGCTTTTCATGAGCATCATCTTGGTTGAAATGGTCACATTTCACAGAGGAAGAAACGGAGGCACAGGTGAGAGAGGGGACATCCCCCAGTTCACCTAGTTAGTGGTCAGTCTCCCCAAAGCTTGTTTATCAGGCCATCTTCCCGTGAACCCTCCACACATGTGCTTTTCACACCCATGTCCCTGGCAATGCATGAAGAGAACAGACCTAGTTGTCAAAGCTGCGTCTGGCATCTGATGCAGAAAGGCCTCCAAGTCTCCACCCCAGGTCCCCATCCCAGCTCCCCTGAAACACAGCCCACCCTCCAGGTTGTGCTTGGAGCCAGACCTAGCTGCCCCACCATAGTTCCGGGGATAGTCAAGCACCAGTTTGGCTGAGGAGAGCCCCAAATAAGTCCCTTGCTTCTGAGAAACCAGGCCATCTGCACCAAAGCACCCCCAGAACACCTCTCCCTTCCTCGAACATATGCATTGGTGATTATTTTTCTAGCCACGTGATCACTATGGAAATAAAAGAGGAAATTGCTAGCTTGGTTAATGGGCACACACATGGGCTGTTGCATCTGATAATATGCAATGCAAATAAAGGCCCCTTTGTGTCTTCTAAAATCAAGTATCAAAGAGGAGTCCTCCGGTGCCCTTTAGCCCAGTTAGTAAAATTATTTTTGAAAATAAAAATAATTGTTGTAGTTCATTCCTGTTTGCTCTAAAAAGGCTTTTCCTGTTTTGTTTTTAATCCAGCAAAAAGAACTTTATAATAGAGCGACAGGGCCCTTCTCTTTCAACCCCAGGGTGGGTCACTGACCCTTTGCTGTGCGAGGCAGTGGGAACAGCCCTGCATTTCCCTTGCAGAGATAGCAGGGGGCTGGGATCCAGGAAAGCCACTTCTCCCCTCGGAGTCACTTACAACACGATATGGTGATGCTGATGACAGTTTTATGGAACCAATAAGGCAGCATTATGGTCAGTATGCTCCAGAAATGAGGGCTATCTCTGAACCTCCTTTGGCCTCAGTCTCCTCATCTGTAAAATGAGACTGATGAGAATCCTTCCTATCCCACCTGCAGGGCATTGGGGAGATTGACAGGAGATGACACTCGCAAACCTCAAAGTGCTAAATGGGCAAGTGGTTATTACTAAGGCAACCATCAGGTGCTCTGGGAGCTGAATGTTGCATCCCCATTTTACAGAGGTGGAAGCTGAGACTGGGAGAGGTAAAGCTGCACAGCTAATTGGTGTAAAAACAGGGGCTTCGGGAGCCCCGTCCCACCAGGGCCGCCTTGATGCCCCTCCCCTGGGCTCAGAGGGGCTGAGGGATTGCTGCTTTCTCCGAAATCGGAGGTGGACACATAGACGCACTTTGGGGCCAGCTCTCCGTTTACCCCCTGGGACCTGGGCAGGCCATCTGCCTCTCTGAGCCTCGGTTTCTCATCTGTAAATGGGTGCACTACAGGAGTGCCCTTGTAGGGATGTGGTGAGGATTATATGAAATCACGGGGGTTATAGATGCGCCTGGCACATGGTGGGTTCTCACAGAACGTGAGCTGTGAGAATCACCTTTGCAGCAAATGGTCAAGGGTGTCTGACCTACTGAGACTCCTCCTGAGGTGGCAAGGCACATGGGCAGAGCTCTGACTGAGCTCAGTGGACAGGCCCAGGGGACAGGAGGAAACCCCTTTTCCTCAGTGCCAGCAGCGAGGGCAGGTATCTCAGCTGCCAACTAGTGACCACCAGTACCTGCCACACTGCAAACCCAGCCCCCAAGCCTCTGGCTAAGACTGGGGAGGGGGCCTCCCAGGCAGCCCCGATTAGGTGATGAGCAGCCCCAGATTCGGCCCTTTCCCCAGCCCTGGCACGCAGGGCTGGGGCAGGGGTGCACCCCAGGGAACCCACCAGCCCAACTTCCCTGAGTCTACTGAGGCCCGAGCTGGTCAACTGCAGAATAAAGAGCACACACCCAAGTGGAGGGGAGGGGCCAGCGGCGTCCCCTTGAGAGACAGGGCACTCCCACTGAGCCCCCTGGATTCACTCAGGGCACCTCAGAGCCCACCACTGGGGAGCCCTTGCCCAGCCTTTGCATGCATTACCCTCAATAGGGCTGGGCAGGGGGTTGTCCATGCTGTGCCTTCACACTCCTCCAGGTGGAAAAAGGAGAAAGTAGAACTCTACATACATCCCTCCTGAAGCCAGAAAGTAAGGAGCGCATTGACCAAACTCCTCTCTTTTCTAGAATCTCTCTCATCTCTCTCTCGCGCGCGCTCTTGCTCTCTCGCTCTCTCTCCCTGTCTCTCTCTCATTTCCTTTGCCTCCTCTCAGTTCACAAAAGCACCAGCCAAATTAATCACTGGGGACCTGAGAACCCCTCTGATTCCTGCCAGCCTACTGTGGTCCCTTTTACCCTCAAAGGCTGTCATTTAATCTGTAAGATGCTCAGGGCCAAAATAATTCCCACCGAAGCTCTCTCTCCAAGCCCCCGAGAATCAAGACAGACCCTGCAGTCAATGTGGTGGCCAGGTTTGCTCTTGTCTCGGGGCGTCCCCAGCATCCCTATATGGAGGGACGGAGTCGGCTCGGCGCTTCCTCCTTCTATGACATGAATGTCCGTGGCCCTGTTGCGTCTTCGTGATGATCAACGTGTGTTGTCTGTTCTCTGTTGTCTGTTAAAATTCTTTGTCGTGTAGGTAAAATGCAGGATGGCAATGTGGACGCCAGCCAGAGCAAAGGTAACCCTTTTGTATTAACCGGCTTCTGTGGTCCCCGCAGCCCCTCCCCACCGGCTCTGAGAGCCAAGCCAGACGCAGACATGTCCGCACCTACAGGTGCCTGACGTCTTTGGGGGGCATAGCTGTGATTCATGTATTTCCAGGCCAAATGGAGACGTCACCGGTGAGGACAGGGGACACCCGTGAGCCAGCTCTTCCCCAGCCTTTGAGCTGTGCTGCCCATTTAGCTGAAGACTTGTAGCTGGTTCTTTGAGATCCGTAGGGGCTAAGGGAGAGGGCCCCAGGCCCACCAGTCAGTCCACCACTGAAGGAGGAGGAGGCTCATCACCCACGGAAAGGGACACTCTCTTTTATCTTTTAAGCCCCCTATGTCCCTTCTGTCTGGTGACTATTTAATATCCCAGCAACATACTCAAGAACCAACCGGAGAAGTCCAAGCCTACCTGCCTTGTCTGAATGTGGGGAAAGGTGAGGGGCCATTTGGGAAGGGTCTGTGGGCTTACTCAGGCCCAGAGGGGACCCCAGCCTCCTCCTGCTGGGAATCCAAGGTGGAACTGTGTCACTCCCTGGTTGCACTTGGATTCCAGCTCCAAGGCAACCACTGGCCCTGGGACCAGAGTCTCCACCTGGAAGAGGCAGACCCCACATCGCAGGGTTTCTGTGCCAGCCACACAGGGGTCCGGGCAGCGGAGTGAATGAATGCCTCACCACACTCCCCTGGGCAGGCAGGGTGGGTGCCAATATCCCCACCCAGCAAGCTGACCTCGGTGCGTGCATGTCTGTGTGTGTGTGTGCGTGTGTGTGCGTGCGTGCTCTGCCCCCTGCAGCCAAACAGCAGGACGGGGCAGCCGCCATGGAGATGCAGCCCCTCAAGAGTGCCGAGGGCGGCGATGCCGACGACAAAAAAAAGGCCAACATGCACAAGAAGGAGAAGTCTGTGCTGCAGGGAAAGCTCACCAAGCTGGCTGTGCAGATAGGCAAGGCAGGTAAGTGCGCAGCCACAGTGGATGGGGCAAGAGGGAACGTGGGGTGCACAGTGGGACCCAAAGCTGGCTCTCAAGTACTTCATCTGCAAAGTGGCGGCTTGCATGAGATGGCCCTGAGACCCACCCTTTTCTACCACAGCAACCAGCCCGAGTCCTGAGACGATAGACGCTCAAGTAATAGGTTGGAGTACGGGAGGGCAGGGATGGATTAGGGCTCTATGTTAGCCACCCCGGCTGCAGGGCAGAGGAAAGATGGGAGAGGTTGAGGGCAGTGGCAGGAGCCCAGGGAGAAGCCTCTTGTCTGAGCCTCAGTGCAAGCTCAGCTTCCCAACTGAGCTGGTGGCTCCAGGTGACGGCTGGTGGTGGCCCCTCTGGCCCAGGAAGCTGAGCCCAGCTGTAAGGCGTGCCCCGCCCGGCTGACACGGCCCGGGCCTCTCCGCCGGCATGAGGACACAGCAAACGCCAAGGCCTCCCCACCTGGCTGTCTCTCGGCTCTAATTATAGGCACCATGGCGTGGAGGAGGGGGGCAAATTACAGGCTCGACTGTCTATATTTAAATTCGGGCCTGGTGATAGCTCCCGGCTGCTGGGAGCTTGGCTTCCCGCCCCTGCGACTGTCAGATGGGGGTAGAGCCGGCCCTGAAGTTCCACAGCTGGAGGTGGGGGCGGGCGAGCGATTGGCCCAGGGATTTCCTCCATTCTCGGCCTGGAGAAGACTCCACGGAAACAGGCAGCAGCCCTGGGGGGCAGGGAACGGAGAGATGAGGAGAAGGAGGAGGAGGAGGAGGAGGAGGAGGAGGATAGCCCCATGGCCTTCAAAGTCCTTGCTCATCTCCCTCCTTCTCCTCAGCCTTGCCGAGAATGGAGTTCAGAGTCTAGGTTCACACCCCACCTCTGCTTCTCTCTTGGGCTGAGTTCCCTGAAGCACAGCCTGACGTGGCTGGGAGCAGATTTTTAGGGGCGAGGGTGTGCTCAGGTGAAACCGCTAAAGGGTAAGAGACTTGACTTGACAGGGCCAGGGGGAAAGCCAGATACTTTCTGGAGAAATCCCAGTCTCTACCTACCTCTGCAGGGTCTGTCCCAAGTCATGCCAAGGGGACTGGGCTGTTGGACCCCTACCTCAGCCATTGGATATTGGTCATCACATTGGGGTGGGGTGCCCTCCCAGGCACTTCCTGACAAAGAGACGGTGATCACCGAAACACGAGCTTCCTCTGGCAGCGGCCGCAGGCGTGCACAGCCTCAGGGGCACCTGCCTGGCACCAACAGCAGGTGGAGGCCGCACACACCCAAGTGGCAAGGGGATCCCAGGGGATCCAGGCAGGTAGGCACCTGCCTCTACTAATTCTGCAGCGCTTCTCTGGCCTGTGGCCTTGAACAAGTCACTTCCCCTCACTGAGCCACAGTCTCCTCATCCAAAAAAGGGCCCCCTGCTCTTTCCTCTGTCTGGAACACTCTTCCTGCAGGTCACGCCATCTGCCTGATCCTTCTCATCATTCCCCATCTTCTCAAGTATCACCTCCTCCGGGAAGTCTTCCCTGGACGCCGTCGCTAAAGTAGTCACTCCCATGCCAGCCCATGTTTTGTTTTTAAGCTTTATTGAGACACAACGTATATACAAAAAATTGCTCACATTTAATGTACATCTTGATGAGTTTGGACCCATGCATACACCCGTGATGCCATCCCCACAAGCAGGGTACGAAGCCCAGCCACCACCTCCTCCTAAACGTCCTTGTGTTCTTTCATGAGTTTTCCTGTTTTCTGTTCTGGGGGTAAGAACACTTAACAGGAGACCCATCCTCTTGCCCAATTTTGAAGTGCACAATACTGTACTGGTAACTGTAGGCACTGTAGTGTAAAGCAGAGCTCTAGAACTTATATATGTTGCATAACTGAATCTCTGTACCCACTGAAAAACAACGCTCCCCTTCCGCCCTCCCCACAGCCCCTGGCAATCACCCTTCTACTCTCTGCTTCCATCAGTTTGACTATTTATATTCCTCATGTAAGCCCTTCTGTGTCTGCCTTCTCTCGTTCAGCGTGATGTCCACTAGGTCCATCCATGTTGTCGCAAATGGCAAGGTTCCCTTCTTTTTTAAGGCTGAGTCACATACCGTTGTGTGTGTGCCCCACGTTTTCTTTATCCATTTGTCTGTCGATGGACATTTGGGTCGTTTTCTCATTTTCTGCCCATGTCACTTTCCGTCTTGTCATCCTGAAGTTTTTTGTCACAGCATTATCCCTATCTGAATTATCTTGTTCATGAGCTTGTTTCCGGTCTGCCTCCCCCTCTGGAGTCTCAGCTTCCCAAGGGCAGGGACTCTGCCCTCTCTATTGCTGTGTCCCTGGTTCCTGAAGTAGGAACTACTAGGTGTCTGGGTGAATGAGTAAATACATGGTACCAACTGCACATCATTATTGTGTGAGAGTACTATGCAGGCAGTTCTAACTTACTCACATGGTCTCTCGGCACACATTTCTTGAGCCCCTGCAAGGTGTCGGGCAGGCACCATGCCACGCACTTTACGAGCACTAATCGCATTTGATACTTACAAAATCACATGAGATAAACGTGCATCCCCGTTGCCCAGAAGAGGAGACTGAGGCTCTGTGAGGATCAAGAACTTGCCCTAGGCCACAAAGCGAGTAAGTGGCAGAGCTGAGATGTGAGCTAGGGTCTGCCTGGCCCCAGAGCCCTTCTGGCCAAGGGTTTGGTCTACATCTCACTTCCCAGGCCCATACCCCCAGGAAAGCCCCTGAACAGGTCTTCCCCCACCCGTGTTACAGGACTGGTGATGTCGGCCATCACAGTGATCATCCTGGTGCTCTACTTCACCGTGGACACCTTCGTGGTCAACAAGAAGCCATGGTTACCCGAGTGCACGCCCGTCTACGTGCAGTACTTTGTCAAGTTCTTCATCATCGGCGTGACGGTGCTGGTGGTGGCCGTGCCCGAGGGGCTCCCTCTGGCCGTCACCATCTCACTGGCCTACTCTGTGAAGGTGAGAAGGAGGGGACCAGATGGATGCAGTTGGCTGCCCCCCCTCACCAGGGGCTCTGTGGGGGTGGCCCGTGGGGCAAGTGCTGGGGCTGGGAGAAGCGCTGAGAAGGAGGGAGGGGGCACGTTGGAAGGTGGGAGAGAACACGGATGCAGGAACCCAAAGCTCACACACCCTCAGGGAGGCCCGGGGCCTGTGGCCACAACCAGAGGGCCACACCCTGGCTGCAGGGACAGCCATCATTCATCCCAGCCAAGTGTCGCCTTGCAGAGAAGCCGCTTTGTTGCCAAATCTTCACAGTTTTCCAGAGAAGCCAGAAACGTGGACTTAATATGAGCTCTCTTGATTTTTAAACGTTGACAATCAACTCAACTTAACAACAACAACAAAAAAAAAGCACAAAGAGCAGACGTCACCGTGTAAGCCCAAACCCATCCCCAACCCACCAAATATAAGTAGAAGTCTGTAGTACTTCTATGACTAATCTCAGAGGGTACTCCCTAACTTTGGGAAGAGATAAACCTAAAACCAAAAGATATCTGATGTAAGGAAGCCCCCTCCTCTCAAGGGACGGGCGGAAAATGGAAGAGGGTTTAAAAGCAGTTTAATGAGGGCACCTGTGTGGCTCAGTTAGGTGAGCATCTGACTCTTCATTTTGGCTCAGATCATGACCTCACAGTTTGTGGACATCGAGCCCTGCATCAGGCTCTGCATTGATAGTGTGGAGCCTGCTTGGGATTCCCTCTCTCTCTCTCTCTCTCTCTCTCTCTCTCTCTGCCCCTCCCCTGCTTGCTCCCACTTTCACACGTGGGCATGACAAACTTTAAAAAAAAAAAAAAGTTTAATGAAGAAGGGTAGGCCCAAGAAAGCTGACTATGAAAACTTGGGTCTTGGGGGGTGTTCCTAGTGCCCCCCAGATGGAAGAGACCCCTGCCCCCTGCTTCCAGGCAATGACCATCCACAGAGCCTGAACACTGAGCTGAGCATCTCCACGGGCACTTTGAGCCTGGTTCACATGGCGGGCTCATTCTCTTCCCTTGGCCCCATGGTTTTCCCACCTTGCGCTCCTGGTTCCCAGGGCCCTGATGCCAGGACATCCCCGTGAGGACAGAGGCCAGGGCATGTTTATAAACAAGGCACTCTCTCCGAGACGTTGGCAGAGCTGGTGGAGGGCATAGCAAGCGTCAGTTTCCAAGTTGGAATTTGGACCGGGCTCACCGATGTAATTTCATACAGAAAAGAGATCTCCAGGCAGGTGCCAGAAAGTGGCAGTTCTGTGTAAAAGATACGGCCCTTATCGTCTCCTTGTTTTAGGGTTCTTGAAGAAACTCCATCCCACAAACCAAAGCCCAAACAGGTCACAACACGATGCTGCTTGGGGACCTGGGGCCCAGAGATGGAGACTCTCCCACACACACAGCCATGAGTTGGGACCCCCATGGCCACCCAGCTGAACTCAGGGTGTCTTTGAAAGTCACACAGGGTTAGTTTGGGGGGATTATGTACTGACATCTTTAGACCTCTGCACCATCTACAGTTTGTATCTCTGGCACCTGGTGCCTTCAGCTGTCTTAGGTCACTTGATAAACTTAGTACAGCACCCCAACCAGTCCCTTGATAAACTTGATACAGTCACTTGATAAACTTAGTACAGCACCCCAACCCAGGAGAGGCAAACTGTCCCCTCTCTGAGCCTGGCATACCCCCCTGGGAGCCGCCATCAAAACACTAGAGATGACACTTAGATCAGCGCTGGCCAATAGAGATATGATATGAGCCGCATGTGTGATTTTAAATTTCCTTGTAGTCACGTTAAAAAGAAAAAATAAACGAAACAAGTGACATTAATTGTAATATAATTTACTTTACCTAACATGTCCAAATTATTATTAATCCCACATGTAATATAAAAATCACTAGTCACATATTTTACATTTCTTTTTTCATGATAAGTCTTCAAAATCCAACATGTGTTTTACATGTACCACATGTTTCACGTCAGACCAGCCACATTTCTAGTGCTCGGTAGCCACCTATGTATTCTGAAGCCCGACAGACGAACCCTCTTCCGAGAGTGCAGGTGGTCAGAGGCCTGATGGAATGATCCAGGCTGTGAGGTTCAACAGAGCTGGGTTCCTGTCCCAACTTTAACCCTCACATTAGGTGTGTGATCCTGGTCAAATCACTCTGCCGTGACTTTTTTCAGTTGCCAAAATGGTTGACGAAAATCCTTGTAGTAAAGTCAGACCAGAAAGTGAGGAGGAACTTTGCAGACTGTAAGTCTGTAAGTTGATCATCCAGTAAACGTACATTAAATGTGTTATAAGAGAAAATGGCAATAGCACAGATCTCTAACCGATACCCATTTTGCAGTGACGTGAACTAGTGTTAAAATTATTCTCCTGACACTTCTTTTTACCCTTCTTACAAAGAGCTATAATGGGCAAGAAGAAAGGAAATCAGATTCCTAGGAACAGGCTGGAACTGTGCCTGATTCTGCCTCTAGCAACTTTTCATGTCCCTCCTTGGCAGATAGGGTCCCTGTGTCGGGAGGGCCTGCACTGAGTGGCAGTTCCTGGAGAGTGACTTTATTTGCATGACTTGCTTGAGAACCTGAAAGAAGCTATAGGAGTGGAGCTGGAAAGACAGAGAGGAAGACGAATACAAGAAATTAATAATAATATACATGGTAGGATTTCATTTTTGCTATAAATTTGAAAAGAAAAGATGTTGATACATAAGCTGTGTCAGTTCTGGGTGATAGCATTATGGCTGGCTTTTCTTTTCCATATATCTCTGTTGAAAAGAAATTTGTGATTTTTATTATACAAGTTATAATCTGTATTGAATGCAGAAAATAGAATCTATAGAATTTTTTTTAGAATCTATAGATTTTTAGGGTGGCTCAGTCGGTTAAGTGTCTTACTTCGGCTCAGGTCATGATCTCACGGTTCGTGGGTTCAAGCCCTGCGTCGGGCTCTGTGCTGACGGCTGGGAGCCTGGAGCCTCTTAGGATTCTGTGTCTCCCTCTGTCACTGCCCTTGCTCTGTCTCTCTGTCTCTCTCTCAAAAATGAATAAACATTAAAAAAAAATTTTTAAAGAAGAACCTATAGATTTTTATTTTTTTTTTAATTTTTTTTCAACATTTATTTATTTTTGGGACAGAGAGAGACAGAGCATGAACGGGGGAGGGGCAGAGAGAGAGGGAGACACAGAACCGGAAACAGGCTCCAGGCTCTGAGCCATCAGCCCAGAGCCTGACGCGGGGCTCGAACTCACGGACCGCGAGATCGTGAGCTGGCTGAAGTCGGACGCTTAACCGACTGCGCCACCCAGGCGCCCCTGGATTTTTAAAAGAAGGCAATAAAAATCTCCTATAATTCTACCACCCAGAAATAATGACATTAATATTTTGATATTTTTCCAGATATTGTTCTATGTCTATAAACACACATGTCTATCCTAAATTTATTTATTTTTGGTGGAACCAAATGAAAACCAGGCGCCAGCAAAAGATGGTACATTTGAAAAAAAAAACCCATAACCAGATAAGGAATGGTTCTTTCTGTCAGGGCGTAAGAGAAAAATATTTGAGGTAACCGGAAAGGACCCAACCTTAATTTATCATCCTTCTCCCTTATTTTTTTTCTGTAAGGAATACAGATTATTTCCATAATTCAAATGAACAAAGTCAATTCATCAAATCTTCTAAATGGTTCAAATCAAAGTAAAGGAAAAGGCTGCACACACACGAGGAGTTCAGATGTCAACGTTTCAGTGAATGCCCTTTGCGTCTGTGGGAGGCAAAGGGGCAGATAGCAGAGGCAGAGCCTCATTTACTGCGTGTTTCCCCCATGCCTTCAGCTCTCTGGCTCCCCAGCTCCCTCTCCTTACTGCCGCCCTCTCACTCGCCCCTTTCCCCCAGAAAATGATGAAAGACAACAACCTGGTACGCCACCTGGATGCCTGCGAGACCATGGGCAATGCCACCGCCATCTGCTCAGACAAGACAGGCACACTGACCACCAATCGCATGACAGTCGTGCAGGCCTACGTGGGCGATGTCCACTACAAGGAGATCCCCGACCCCAGCTCCATCAACGCCAAGACCATGGAGCTGCTCGTCAACGCCATTGCCATCAACAGCGCCTACACCACCAAGATTCTGGTGAGTGGTGCAGCCTCCTCTGGGGGAAGCACCCACGTCCGTGGGGCGAGGCGGAAGTTCTGGGCAGATGGAGCGACGTGACTCGTATTTTTGAATCCTGCTGGTGTCTTTTGGGATGGTCGTGGAGTAAGCAACTTGTTTCCGTTTGATTTAGCAATAGTGTTTATATGACAGAAAAATAGTGTGTTAGTTGTGTTTTTTAGATCCCATCATTGTCCCTCTTACCAGAAAACTTCCACACTTTTTATTAGCAGGCTTTTGCTACATCACTACAGTAGGCTCCCCGTATCTATAGTTTCAGTTACCTCCAGTCAGCCTCGGTCCCATAGCAGATAACCCTTTGCTAACAATACGTCAGAAGGTCAGTAGCAGCCTAATGTCATGTCACATATCTGTATCATTCACCTCACTGCATCTCAGCATGTAGGCACTCCACCGTCTCACATCACCACAAGAAGAAGGGTGAGTACAGTAAAATAAGATATCTAGAGAGAGATCCCATTCACATATACCTCCAGTATATGGTTCTAACTGTTCTATTTTATTATCAGTTATGAATCAGGTGTTATTCTCTTACTGTGTCTAATTTATGAAGTAAACTTTATCATGGATATGTGTATCGAGGAAAAAAACATAGTATACATGGGGCTTGGTACTATCCACAGCTTTGGGCATCCCCTGGAGGTCTTGGAACGTGTCCCCCAAGAATAAGTGGGGGACTGCTGTGCTCCAAAACTTAGTGGCTTAAAATCAAACTGTGTATTTAGCGCTCGATTGTGAGCTGGCAATTCAGGCTGGGCTCAGCGGGGTGGTCCTTCTGCTCTCAGCAGGACTCCCTCACACGTCTGCATCTGTGGTGGCTCAGGGGACAGCCCTGCTGATCTCGGCAGCACCGCAGGCTGGTCTAGGATGACCTCAGCTGGGATGGTTCATCTGGGCTCTGTGCGCTCCCGCCTCCTCCGGCAGGCTGGTCTAGGTGTGTTGACGTGGTCATTTTGCCACATCCTGTTGGCCAACACAAGCCAAGAGGCCTGCCCAGACCCGGGGAATGGGGAGGCTGACTCCATCTCTTGCCAGGAGGAACTGCCAAGTCACATTGCAAAGGGCATGGATTTAGAGAGGAACTAATTGTGGCCATTTTCACAATCCACCACCGATGACGTTGTTGTTAGTAACTTCTATTAGGTAGCAGCATCACAAGCTTTGATAAGAAAAACTATCATATTCCTGTCTCAGCTAAGCTGCATAGACTCATCATGCTGTAATCCCTTTTTGGTTTAGAAGCACAGATGGCTTTTTTTTTTTTTTTTTTTTTTTTTGTAATTAACCAGCATTCAGATGAAGAGAAGCACAGACTTGTCCATCCGGAGGTCAGTCAGCCTCCAGATGTGTAGGTCATTTCTGCAGTGTGAGCCTCTGGGTGAGCAGCTGGGCTTTTTTGCTTAGCCTCCAAATGTGCCCTAGCCCTGACCTCTCCCTTCTGCCCCTGAGCCAGCTCAAAGCATCGCCATCAGGTTGGATTGTGGGAGCCGCCAGAAGCTTTATCCAAACGGGGAGGAGAGTGTGACTCAGCAGCAGCGAGGGGCTGAGGGCTGGTGGGAGAGGGGGGAGGAGGCAACTTCTGCCTCTAGACACCGGCCGGTCCAGGGCTAAGCAGCCACCCACATCACCCTAGAGCTGCAGGCTGCAGGAGGCAGCACAGAGGAAAGGAGAAAGTAGGTCGGGAGGATGCAGGCAGATGGGCGATAGAGAACCCTGTGTGTGATGCCAGAAATGACCATGTTTTGTCTTCTTCCCACCCCACCCCCACCCCAACCCCAATGTGGGAATCAAGGGAGATCAGCAATGTTCTATTCCGTTTCCCAGGCCTCCCTAAAATCACTGAGATGCTGTTCATGACCTTGTCCTGGAGATGTGGCAGAGAGGGGAGCAGAGCAATTCCCAGACCAGGCTTCGGGCGAGGGGGTGGCCGCGTGGGCAGAGCCCTGCGAGGTGGGCTTGGATGGAGATGTGTGTTATGCAATCACCATAAGAAGGAGTTCTGGGATCTGCCAGGAAGGCTGATGAAACATCTCAATTAGGCAGTGTTTCATAGCACTGGCAGCAAAGTTAAATTCTCATTTTCAATGTTGGTTGTGTCTAGGTGGCTTAAAGGACAGGGGTCAGTCAGTCTACCTGGGGAGGTGAACTGCTGAGACTAAAGAGAGTTCAGGGACCCCAGAACTGGAATCTTTGGTTTGTAATCAGGCTAAATCACTTACCTCTTACTTAGGCACCAGTGTCTCCTGATGTGCCTTGAACCCCAGCCTCCTAGGACCCCTGTGCCTCTCTTTCTGGGTCTTTTCTGAAAGACCCCTGGCCACATGGTTCTCCTTGCTGGGGGCTGATGGCCACTGGTATAGAAGGGATAGCAGAGTCCCCTGGTATGACAGGGTAGTGGTGAAGGCTCATACTCTGGAGCCAGGCAGCCTGGGTTCAAATCCCTCTCCAGCTATATGAATGTCAACAAGTTACTTAACCTCTCTCTGCCTCAGTTTCTTGGGGGAAATGATAGGATTATTGTGAGGATGAAATGAGTTAGTAAGTGACAAGTGCTTAGCACAATGCCTGGCTCGTATTCAGCACTAAGTATGGTTAGTGTTGTCGTTAAATCGCCCATTGAATAAAATCACCCATTGAAAGAGGATTCCGTTTGTAGCAATGCAGAGGCTAACCAATAAACAGACAGCGGAAGCATTAGGACTACAGAGGAAAGGGTCCTACCCAAAGTCACATAGCCAAGTATGGCAAAGCCAACTTATAGACACTCCAAAGCCAGCTGTTGAGTAGAGTGTCCAGACCAGGCTCTTGGTCACTGAAACCAATCCTGCAGCATCTTTAGTATAGGGTGATCTCAAAGAAGGAAGGCCTGGGGTCCAGGCAGTCATATTCAGAACCAGGGCCTGCCAAGCCATGTGGGGCAAAGGGTGTCTAAGGGACTGTCCTTCCAGGCCCAGAGGAATCCTGAGAAGAGTAAGGGTTTGCTCGGTCCAGAGTAGATGTCCAACCACCCTCTAAACCAGGCTGGGAAATCTAGACGTATGGGTGGATGAATATGTGGGCAGTGGCTGGGTGAATGTGAATTAATAAGATGCTCAGAACAGGACTATCTCTGTGTTCTACTTTCCTGTTCTTGTGGCAGCAAGAGGTAGGGTTTGGCCCCATCTCTGCCCCATGGTCAATAGCAGTGCTCTCTGGGTCCCTCCAGCATACTGAGCTGGTCTCTTCTGCAGCTGCCCTCTGCTCTCTGGTCTTCATTGATCCGGAGACCTCCCAATTAGTTAGCACCTTTCATTCTTAAAACACACACACACACACACACGCACACACACACACACACACACACACAAACCTACTTGAGTATTTGCAAGGGTAGGTTGTGTGGGTGTCATCTACATGGATTCGTATACCTTAGAGACATACTGGTCCAGCCCCCTTACTTTATCTGAGGCCCAGAAATAGAAAGGGACTTGTGCCAAGTCACCCTGTGGACTATTAAAGCTGGAATCCAGATGTCTGGACACCCAGTCCAAGAAGTAATGAGGTTTGGCTCTGAAGTCCAACAAACCAAGGTTCAAACCTCAGCTCCAGCACTTAGCACCCATGTGACCCTGAACAAGTTACTTGACCTCTTTGAGCTTCTATTTTCCAATCTGCAAATCTATAAAGTGTGTACATAATTAATCCTAATTGGTAACATCCACTTAGCCAGGCTCGATGCTAAGTGCATACCCCATTCTGCCTTGTATAACAACCCCATGAAGTAAGTGACATCACATCTCTAATTCATAGCTCAGACCCTGAAGCTGGGAGAAGTTAAAAATCATGCTTGGAGTTCCAGAGCAGATAAGAGGCTGAGTCAGGATTAGAACCCCGTCCAAGCTGGAGCCTGTGCAGCTCACCACCCCTTCCCACCCAACTCACGCAGCTGCACCTTTGCCTTGAGGCAGCTTCAGGGCTCCCGTGAAGATCAGATGAGAAAATCTATGTGAGGCTCCCGGCACAGTGCTTGACATGTAGCAAGTGCTCAGTCCACATATGTTATTACTCTCACTACTTCTGTTATTATTTCTGAGCCTTATCCTCTGTCGTTTATTTTGCCAGCCACTATCTTCCTTGACCCTCCACATCCCTTCAGGGGGATAAAGGCAAATATGACCATTCCCATCTTGCAGCTAAAAACACTGGCTGCAGAGACATTAAGTAACCTGCCCAGCATTGCTCCTGACCACCAAGTGGCAGAGTGGGGCCCAGAGAATTCTGGGGGAGTTTACCAAGTGGGCAAGGGGGCAAGGACATTGCAGACAGGGACACAGCCCTACAAAGGCCCAGGGACCCTAAGATGCATGGCTCATTCACGTGATCTGTGGCCTGTGCATTTCTCTGGGGCTAGAATGATGAGAGTCGAGGCTGGAGGGCAGGGGGCGGGGACAGCTAGGTGGCATCAGATAAGCCCTTGAAAGGATGCTGCTGGTGGTACTTAGAAAAACCACCCCAGGCAGAGGTGGAGAGTGGTGTGAGGGCCACGGCTAGTGTCAGGGAGGCCAGGAAAAGTGGTCTAGAAGGGCCCTCCCAGCGGGCCAGCTTCAACCCCATAGCCCCATCCCTGTGAGGATAGCAAAGCTTTCTTCTTTCCTGTCTTATTTCTAACCATTAGGAACTAAACTTGCCCTCTGAGAGAAGCTATGTGAATCATCCTTTAGTGAGAAATTGCTTCCCTGCCTCAGAAATCCTGGCACACCCTCAGACTTCCTTTGTTGTCTCTGACTCTTTGAACATCAGGACTTCTACTAGCTTCTTTCCATCACCCTGCAGCTTCTCAGAACCACAGCTGAGTGTTAAGATAGAAATACCTCCTTCCTCAGACTTTGGAGGCCTTCTTGTGCTTTCTTGGGAAAACATTCTCCTTTTCCAACCGTGTGTCCTCTGTGTGCTGAAACTGCCAAGCGGACCTTAATTTT